TAAAAATTAATAAAAATTAATAAAAATTAATAAAAATTAATAAAAATTAATAAAAATTAATAAAAATTAATAACAATTAATAAAAATTAATAAAAATTAATAAAAATTAATAAAAATTAATAAAAATTAATAAAAATTAATAAAAATTAATAAAAATTAATAAAAATTAATAAAAATTAATAAAAATTAATAAAAATTAATAAAAATTAATAAAAATTAATAAAAATTAATAAAAATTAATAAAAATTAATAAAAATTAATAAAAATTAATAAAAATTAATAAAAATTAATAAAAATTAATAAAAATTAATAAAAATTAATAAAAATTAATAAAAATTAATAAAAATTAATAAAAATTAATAAAAATTAATAAAAATTAATAAAAATTAATAAAAATTAATAAAAATTAATAAAAATTAATAAAAATTAATAAAAATTAATAAAAATTAATAAAAATTAATAAAAATTAATAAAAATTAATAAAAATTAATAAAAATTAATAAAAATTAATAAAAATTAATAAAAATTAATAAAAATTAATAAAAATTAATAAAAATTAATAAAAATTAATAAAAATTAATAAAAATTAATAAAAATTAATAAAAATTAATAAAAATTAATAAAAATTAATAAAAATTAATAAAAATTAATAAAAATTAATAAAAATTAATAAAAATTAATAAAAATTAATAAAAATTAATAAAAATTAATAAAAATTAATAAAAATTTATAAAAATTTATAAAAATTTATAAAAATTTATAAAAATTTATAAAAATTAATAAAAATTTATAAAAATTAATAAAAATTAATAAAAATTTATAAAAATTAATAAAAATTAATAAAAATTAATAAAAATTAATAAGAATTAATAAAAATTAATAAAAATTAATAAAAATTAATAAAAATTAATAAAAATTAATAAAAATTAATAAAAATTAATAAAAATTAATAAAAATTAATAAAAATTAATAAAAATTAATAAAAATTAATAAAAATTAATAAAAATTAATAAAAATTAATAAAAATTAATAAAAATTAATAAAAATTAATAAAAATTAATAAAAATTAATAAAAATTAATAAAAATTAATAAAATTTATATAAATTAAGAAAAATTAACAAATAATGAAAAATAATAATCATTCATTTTTTAAATTATAAACACGACACCACGCGTACAAAGCTTATCTACGCACAGATTACAAAACAAAAAGTTTAACTGAACGAATATATCCACCAATCACATTTCATATTTTGGACACCTATTATATTTTTAAAATTTTAAATAAGTGAAATTCTGTCAAACCAATTATCAGCATATTTTTTTAGTTATTGAGATTAAATATACATTAAAATGAAGAATCGATAAATAATAGCATTTGTATTTTTATTTGGTTCACACTTTGAAAAAAAGTATTAAAACTAAAATCATAAAAGTGGCCGTGGAGCTGTGGACAGAGCATCTGCCTTCCACGCGAATAGCCCGGCTTCGAATCTTGGCTTGGGACAATTAATTTTTTTTCATGTTTATTTTATTTTATAAATTAGTAAAATTCATAAATTATTTTATAATTAATTATTTTGTCTTAATAATCTAAAATATTTTTTTAAATTTGTAGATTTTCGCTAGTGGGTCGTAGAAAAAATATACTGTACAACTCGAGTGGATTGTCCATATCGCACTCAGACGATGGAGCCTCAGCCTACGGCGTCGTGCTCAAACTTAGTCTTCGTGCGATATGGCCTTCATATTAACTCTTGTTGCACAAAAACTACTATTCCCATTGTCAGGGATGAGGGTGGGGGGCGGCGAAAAATTGCTCAGCCCGCAGGTGGAGGTACACCTAGGAAAGGCCCTGGTTATAAGCTGTTGAAGTTAAAATGCAGGTATTACTTTATAGTGGGACACCCAGTATTATTGGAAGCTTATTAAATCGTTTACGTTAGTGGTTATTTATTAGTTATCAAAATATGGAAATGACATTTCCTTCCGGCTATCACAAGTAACGGTCTCATTTTTGAACTATGAATAGGGTAGACTAAGTACCTATCGTAAGGGAAACTTAAATACGGGTAGAGATAATGGAATAATTTAGTAAACATAACTACTCACAGGAACTTTATGAAATTTTTTCACGTGCCAAAAAGTTTTATTCTTTTTGTTTTGATCTGTATGCGAATATCAGAACAAAAACGGACCAAGGCCAACTCGAAACATGGCTGCATTGTTGCCATGTTAATTAGAAGTATTTATTTAAAATATATTTATAAATTATTTTTAAGTATGTATTCTTTTTCTAATAAGCTTATTCCGTAATTGTAAAAATGTAGAAAATTTGGTAGTATCTTAAATTAAAATGAATTTTTTAAAAAAATTAAAATTAGTAACAATATTTGAAATAAAAAACTTTATAGGTATTCGAATATTTGAATTAATTGGAATTAAATTAAAGAAATTCTTAGAAACTACAAAAAATAATACTGCACATCTAATTTTAAAAAATTACTTCTACCGATCTGTAACACATACCTATTTAGTTGTTTGAAAAGTTACTAATTTTTCCTTTTGGTTTTTTTTGCTTAAAGATGTGTGCGAATATTAATTAAAAATAGTATTCAAATATTAACAATTAAATGAATATTATTTTGGCCGGCCATATCTAATGAATCGATTATTCTACATATATTGAGATTTTTTTTAAAAACGAAAGTAATCCCTAAAAATCGCTGGAAATTATTTTAAAGTTTATAACTTTGCCACTAGGAGGCATAATGCTCGTAGCCAATGATAAAAAAGTGATTATTTCATTTGCCAAATTAAGTGTTGTCAAAAAAGTGAAAAATCATAATATGTGCAAAATTTTAATCAATTTCGTTTTATATGTTTACATTGCGCCATCTAGTGCCGTGAAAATAATTTTAAGCTATTCCTCTTGACCACTTTTCTATTTAAAAATGTTTTCCCAAAATTTTACAGCGCATAATTTATGAGATCCAGGCTATACATACGATACACAGACTAACGTTATATGTTCCTGCGCATGCCTGACTGACGGTGACGTCACGTGGGACATATAATTATTAGCATTAAATGGGAGATAATGTTTGAAATTCGATATTTCGCCGGTTTTAGATTTTATGCAGTTACCGCTTTATTGGTTATTTTATAATATATTAGTTTACAAATATGAAGGTTTAAGGTAAATAATACTAATAAAAATATTAATTTTTCACGTAAATTATAGGTATTTTGTGACAGAATTCATTACCTGGTCATAAGATAAATAAAAAATATAGACTAAAAATACAAGTTTGATTCAAATTTGTACTTTCTGGGCGTGGTAGTTCTCTTGAAATCCCTTTTCTTATTATTTGAAATAAAAATAGGTATGTAGAAACAAATTATTTATAAAAAGTAAAAAATTACTTTTTATTTGGTAAATTTAAACATTTTTTTGTCAAGTTTACTTTGAAAATAGTCAAAACCAACTTTTCTGTTCATGTATATTTACTCTTACATACGTCCGTGTCCTGCTCATGCATAGTATTACTTCAAAAGGGACCGTTGTATTGAGACAGGAAACTACTGTTTTATCTTCTAAAATTTTAAAATACCAATTTTCTTTTCTTAATGAGGCCCCATGCACCTGGTGGAATTCAGTTTCCTTTTCTTGCGTCTATGTTTACTACTTTCCTCAAAGTGGATAGGGCAACTTCATGCTAAAATTAAAAATATATGTATATATTTTTTATTTTAGCAACTTTTTACTGTCTCTTTTATATACTTGTGCATTTTACTAACCATTGTTTAAATTAAGTTTGTCATTTCTTCGATAAGAATTTAGCCACATTTTGTGGCATTCGGAAATATCTTACACTATTTTTGGATTTCGTATTATGGTTTTTGCAAGTCGCCACCGCGCATCTCGGCATTTTAAACATTAATCCAAATAAAATACAGGATATGCCAAAAATTATTGACACATTTAAACAAGAGAATAAACTAAAAACCAATCAATTTTGATCATTTAACTAGTCCGCTATGATTTTTTCCGCGAGCACAAGTGAACCAAAACATAGGGCGGTTTAAAACAGTAAAAGTATTTTAATTAACGAGTCGCTTGGCATGTTTTGGGTAACAAAAAAAGCTCAATTCTATATTTAAAAAATTAATATTACTACTGATTTTGCCAATTTTTAAATTCAATTGCTTCTATCCTAACGGTAGGTAATTTGTAAGGTTATTTTTTAATTTAATTACTACAGGACAAAATCATCTGCCATTGTGAGCAAATCTTGAATTTTCGTAAATTAAATGAAAGTGGCAACAATGCTTGTGCTATGTCAAGCAGTTTTTATGTGCGCGGTCGTCATTTCGCCCTAACCTCAAATCTTTTTGTGACTGTACTGTCGATCGGAACTCGTAGGCAATTTTCAGTTGGTGTGTCGTTGATTTTGTAAATTGTTTTTGTGTTAATAAAAAACTGCCAGAAATGCGTCTAAATAGGTGAAGACAGTTTACCAATGTGAAATTCGCTGAAAAGCCATTCGATTTGGTGAAATCGGGAGTTTACACTTGAGGAAAAAGTTGAACGTCACTGTGAACATCCTTACTTGTTGAAACACCGATTGTCCCGATTGATATGGAAACTCTGAAATCTTTGGCCGGAAATACTTTCAGATGTGAGTTTTCTTTTAATCACTTTATTGTGTACGTAATTGCCACGATCGACTGGTCGATGTTCACTATAATCGATTTTCAGTTGTCATTATTTAGGCTGGTTGTATTATTTTAGCAACAAATTATGCAACTGTGTTTCAAATACACTTACCGATATACAATTTAAAAAAAAATCGTGAAATATTTGATTATTTAGTCAGATTGCTTATACAATTTGCTGATACTGTTGAGTGATAACATAGTCTATTTAAAATTATCAGTAGAGTCAATTAAGATATAAGTGTCCGATTTTTGGTACATTTCTTCATTCCTTTTGCAGGGAGTTTGCCTTGTGACGTTAATTCCAGTGTAATAACTGCCCATGACTATCAGTTTCTCGAAGAGGCTAAGAGAAGTAAGGCTATGAAAGATAAGGAATATACTGCAATAGATATTGAATCATCATTGGAGTCACAGAGGCTTTTGGACCATGATTCTTTGGCAGAAAATTATCAAGAGTCACAGGAGATAACATTTGTACCAAGATATACTTCGAAGGCTACTTTGCAAATCTGTAAGTAATTTATTTTATTTTTAACCTCTAGAAATTAGGTAAAGTTGATGGGTTTTTATCAAGTGTGCACTGGATTTTAAATACTTTGGATTTAATTGACAATAAACAAGATAACAATAGTTTTAACTTATTCATATTGTAATGCAACTCATTTTTTAATAATTAAGTCCTTGTGATAAGACTAGCCAATAATATAATACCAATAGGCTAAATTAGTGATAAGGTAATTTTGGTTCCATTGACATTACAGTGACAGTATTTTTTTGGAGTGCATTTTGTTTACCTAAATTATGTTTTTAAACTTTTATAAATATATTTATAAAGTAGATAAGATGCATCAAATATATAATCATTTATTAGCTAATTACATACCTTTAAACTACTTTTTATGACCTACAAACATTATTTAATAAAAACGTATGTCAAAATATTGTTAAAAGTTTGGTTAGAATTAACTGTCAATGGAACCAAAATTACGTCACACCTGTATGGTGTATTGATTAATATAATATTAGAGAATTATCGCCAAAGTCTTGGATCATTTCGTTATTTTTAGAAAATACATGAACCTTATAATTGGAATATGGTCACTTACTCGTATATGAAGGTGGCTATTCGGACTATTCTGCAAATGTCATTCGGAATAATAGGAAGATAGAATGTGTATCTCAGGGTTGGTATATCTAAGGGGGTCACGACATAGATCCAGGTAATGGCTGAGGGGGTGACTGAGGCTAGGGGGGAAATAGTAGTCAGTTTAAGTTGGCAACACTTTCTGATGTTCGTTTAGCGAAATCCACGGTTATCTACTTTTAACGTGCACAATGTAAATATAGTACAAGTGGAATGAACCAATGTTTTCCTCTTAGTGGAATACAAACTAAAAACATTTTGTGCTTTTTTATATACCAAATTATGCAATTTATTTCCACTTCATTTTTATGTTACATAATAATAATAATAATAATAATTAATTATAATAATTAATAATGATGTTTATTTACAAAAAAAAAACAAAAATACAAATGTTTAAAGGGGATAGATGTAAATAAACAATGGTGTTCCTGTAAAAATCAATGGTTGTGCACGGGTTGAACTTGTTTATTTGCAACTAACGAATGTTAGTAAGAAATGTAATATAATAAATACCTCAATTAAAAATACCATATTTTGATCAAAGGACAATACCTATTTAGTTATGTAATATTAGGTATATAGTATTCTAGAGATTGCAGATACATAGTACATTCTAGAGATTGTGGATGCATAGTGGCAGTATAGGGGCGACATGAAAATAAATAAAAAGTTTGTACCTATTTGGCATATGATTATTTTGAATCTATCAAATGATGTTTATATTTCCTTTCAATATTAGGTAGGAATTTTTGGAAAACTTTTTTAATGAAAATTGTGGAATTAATTGTTTTAAGGTATATTTTATAAATTTCTGGTAGTGAATTAAAAAGCCTTGGTGTCAAGTAAGTAAAACACCTTTGTCCTAGAGTCTTTCTTGATGACGAGATTTTAACGTGTAGTACTGTATTTCTATTTTTAAATGCTGAAATAAAGATTGAATGGGCAAATAGTTTTTTAGTCCAGTGTAAACACACAAAAATTTCTCTCGGAGTTATATGTTTAAGTGTTAACACTGGACTAAACAACTGTCAGACATAAATCTCATGCAATAAATATCAGATGTAAACGTACCTTTAGTATTCCATACTGTAGCCTAGACTCAACAAGTGTGTAGTAAATTATTTTTAGGTGATTATACTCAAGATTGTACTAAATATTTAAATTTAAATAGGTACATGCTAGGGTAAATAAGTGTTCATGTAAACATTATCTCTGAAACTACATTGTGACTGCTCTCCTCTCATCAATCTTAAAACTGGATGCTGTAAATGCAGAATTTAAATCTTTCATAGTGTTGCTTCAGATAAATTGTGAAAAAGGTGTTGGACAAAACGTTTAGAACCTAAAATAGCATGGATAACACCTTAGAAGAAGGAATTTTACCTTTATGACATTATCTTTCATCATTTTTAAGTGACTAAGTACCAATTAGAATACATAAGTGGAATATGAAAATGTAATTACTTAATTTGAATGCTGTAAATATGTGTGATTTAATTAAAAGAGCTAGATAGATGTCTCATATAAACAAAGCTGTAAAATGTTGATAAACGCGAAACCATTATTAAACAGAAATTAGTTATCAATAGGATATTCTGTTTAACATGTTTTATTTAAATAAAAAAACAGAGGTGTTATTTGAAATTTGTTTATTTTAGTTCAATGTTTATAAATTGAGGGTACATTTGATCTGAATCTTAATACTATAAAATGTATATGTATTTCTATATGGTTAATATTGAAGTAGAAGCCCAAAAGTTTTGATAGAAAATATATTTTTAAATGTAATATTCACTAGACATGCTAATTTGGGTAATTTCCTATTCGAAGCCGTACATGTTTCCTATTATAGTTTCCATAAGTTTATAATTGTAGAGATACTGAAATATTTTGCTTGATTACTAAACTTTGGTTGTTCTTTTTGTGGTCTGCCAAAGGTTTGTCTTTTTTCCCAAATTTGTTACCTATTCTACTGTTATTCTGCATGCAGACAAATGCTTCTTTTTTACTGGATATTTTCTGTAGGAACTTTCAAAGCCATCCTTTGTAAGATGTAGCAAACAAATACATTCTAAAATGTATAGAAAACAAATCACAAGATATTACACAAAATTATTATTCAAATTAAATAAAAACATACAAATGAAGTGAATAATACCTACCAACAATTTAAAAAGACCTACAATAAATAGACTTAGGGGACTGGAGCCCTAAAAAAGGGAGCCACAATTTGTTCTGCATCCTCAGCTATAAGGAAATTGTCTTCATCTCTTCATATTACCTTTTAAAATAAACCAAAGAAGCACAAAATTGAAAGTGATCTACTTTTCACGACGTATTCTATGTACATGTGAGATTTTTAATAATTGATTAAATTTAAATATTTTATCCTAAAAAATCTGGGCAATTTATAATTAAAATGTCAATTAAAAAAAAAACTGACATTTTTTTCTTATACTGGCAGGCTTGGCGACTACTATTTCGGAAGCGTCCAAAATGGACGCTATGTCGCGATATACCAGCCCTGGTGTACCTCGCATCAAATATAAATATACTGAGGTATTTTTGATTTTCAAGCGGGTAATGAAATTTTAAAAGTATGAATTTGAATATTAAAACTAGTTTAACATTAATATCTAAAAATACTTTAGTACTGGTGAAAGAAAGGGTTAACTCAGAATCCGTTTAAAGATCCTAATTGATGGGAAATAAAAACTAATGTTAACAAGAAAAAGCAAAATATGTTTCTTCTGTGAGAAACCATCCATATATTTTATTATTGCAATGATTAAGATAAACGATAATAGTAACCCATCTAAGAATATTAATTTTAATAAGATATTATTGGATTATAACTTGAGTATTCAACTCATGCAACTTTCACAAAATACTAAATTAAAATATAGTTTAAAACTCTAATGGATTCAGCTCAGCCATCAACGTTACCTTATGGAATGACATTTGCGATGACACTCATTTTTGTTGTTTGGACCTTAGTCTAAAGACGGTAAGGAATGTTACCATATTCTTAAAGTGACGAGTGGCGATAACTCTCTATTACCAATTGATTAACTTTGACATGATAGATATATCCATCCAAAATAATATTATATTCAATATTATTAATTTTGAGATCCCTATAAAAATGAAACTGAAGCTAGCGCTTAAAATTAACAGCTAATATGGCCGGCCGCCAGGGACGAACTACGTTAGGGGTCCCGTCAGGGCCTCACCAATTTTTTTTTACTATTTAGAAGTCGTGAGATAAAAGAATCAGAAAATTGAAAAATTATGAAAAATTCTGCGGAAAGAAAATAAGAAAATTTAAAGTTTTAAAAATTCTGTAACTTCGCAAATAATTCGCGAACTTGGTCAGCGACATGGTGAAAAAATTTTTTAGTCTCTATAAGCATCTCATTCACAGGATCAAGCTTTAAAAATTTTGCGGAAAGAAAATACGAAAATTTAAAGTTTCGAAAATTTTCTAACTTCGCAAATAATTCGCGAACTTGGTCAGAGACATGGTGAAAAAATTTATTAGTCTCTATAAGCATCTCATTCACAGGATCAAGCTTTAAAAATTTTGCGGAAAGAAAATACGAAAATTTAAAGTTTCCAAAATTTTCTAACTTCGCAAATAATTCGCGAACTTGGTCAGCGACATGGTGAAAAAATTTCTTAGCCTCTGTAGAATACTCCTTTTAAAAATGAAGCTCTAAAAATTTTGCGGAAAGAAAATACGAAAATTTAAAGTTTCGAAAATTTTCTAACTTCGCAAATAATTTGCGAACTTGGTCAGAGACATGGTGAAAAAATTTATTAGTCTCTATAAGCATCTCATTCACAGGATCAAGCTTTAAAAATTTTGCGGAAAGAAAATACGAAAATTTAAAGTTTCCAAAATTTTCTAACTTCGCAAATAATTCGCGAACTTGGTTCATATCTGAAAAAATTAATAGCTAATATGGCGGCCGCCAGGGACGAAATGCGTTAGGGCCCTCAGGGGTGCCATAACTGCCAAAGTGTTTGTAAAGACAAAAAAGTGATCGCGAATTCAATATGATATGGAGTGAAATTAATATTTACAGAGCAGAAACGGAAACCGACAGAGAAGAATTCTAAAATCAACTTTTTGTAAGCTGATAATAATAAGATACGTTTTTTGAATTGTGTATTTTATATGGTGGGTGAGGTTTTCCGGGTTTTCCTCACCTGTAAGTCAAATGGCACCATCAATCATCTTTAAGTCGCCCCGGAGCGCCACGGCAAATAATAATAATAGCCGTCCCTTTCCCCGGACAAGCTCAGCTTTTGGGGTTAAAATTCACTCGTAAGGGGGTGAATTAGGGAGAGTATTATTATTA